TTGCTGGGGATTTTTACTTTCATATTCTATTGTATTTTTCAAATTGTCTGCAATAAGTGAGAATGTATTAAGATATTCAAACAATATAGATAAGCGTACTCCCCAGAAGTAATCTCCCACTTTTAATTTTGGAGTGTACTGCTCACACTTTTACTCTGTGCATTTAAATACATATAGAAACATAATTTAAAAAACACAACATATGATCTAGTACATATTATTCAGCAACTTGAGTTTTTCAGTTACTATTTTTATGCCACTACGTATATATTAACCTCCTTCTCTTCTAGTGTTGCATGATGTTCCCAAAATTAGATATACTATAGTTTTACTATAATAGCATATATGCAGATTGTTTCAATTTCTTATTACAGACAAAGCTGTAGTGGATCTTCTTATAGATATTTGTCAGTGCATATATGCAAGGATTTTGGAAGGCAGTTACCAGGAAGGGAAACTGCTAGCTCAAATGCTGTGCACATTGTACATTTCATTTTTTTTAATGTTTATTTTTGTGAGAGAGAGACAGAGTGCGAGTGGGGGAAGGACAGAGAAAAAGGAGACACAAAATCCAAAGCAGGCTCAAGCCTCTGAGCTGACAGTACAGAGCCTGATGCAGGGCTCGAACCCACAGAACGCGAAATCATGACCTGAACCCCAAGTCCGACACTTAACTGACTGAGTCACCCAGGCGCCCCACGTTGTACATTTCAGTAAGTACTAACAAATTACCCACAGGAAAGGTTTTTCTATTTTTAAAAAAAAATTTTTTTTAACGTTTATTTATTGAGAAACAGAGAAAGACAGAGCATGAGCAGGGGAGGGGCAGAGAGAGAAGGAGACACAGAATCCAAAGCAGGCTCCAGGTTTTGAGCTGTCAGCACAGAGCAGACATGGGGTTTGAACTCACAAATGGTGAGATCATGACCTGAGCCGAAGTCGGATGCTTAACGGACTGAGCCACTCAGGTGCCCCCCAAAAAGGTTTTTCTAATTTATGCTATCATTAGTAGCACGTGAGTTTCTCCACACCCTTGCCAACACTTGATATTATAAATACTTAAAAATTTTGCCAATTTTATAAGGGAAAAGTATATGTCTTGTTTTAATTTGCCCTTCCCTGGTTATTGAGTGTCACCAATTTTTTAAGCTTATATCTGTCATTTGGATTTCCTCCTGTCTCAACTGTCTTTTCATATCCTCTCCCTTTATCTATAGGATTGTACTATCCTTTGTGATAGGTGTTATTTATATATTTTAAATATTAGTCTTTTGTTATACAGGTTTCAAAATTTTCTGTCAGCTAATTGTGTTCTACTGAACAGAATTGTCTATTTCAAAATAGTCAAGTATTTTTCTTTATGGCTCTTGGGTAGGTTTTTTTTTTTTTTTTTAAGTTTACTTATTTATTTTGAAAGACAGAGGTGGGGGGAGGGGCAAGAGAGAGGGAGAGATAATCCCAAGCAGGCTCCATTTTGTTAGTGCATAGCCCACTGCAGGGCTCAAGCCCACATACCATGAGATCGTGACTTGAGCTGAAATCAAGAGTTGGACACTTAACCAACTGAGCCACCCAGGAACCCTTAACTATGAGGATGGTAATTTTGTGACAGGTAGGGGGCAGACATTGAAACTAATTTGTTTTTCAAATAAATAACTAGTTGTCCAAACACTGTTTATTAACCTTTCTCCACTGACTTGAAATGCCATCTTCCTCATATATACATAAGATTGTTTCTATATTAACTTTTCTGTTCTATTATCTATGCTTATCTCAATGTCATACATTTAATCTATGCTTTTATAATATGCTTTGAAAGAAGGCAAGTTCCACCTTCCCCCTTATTTCATTTATAATTAAAAACAAGGTTTTAAAAAGTCTATTCTTCACTGTTTAATTGCCTGACTCTCCCTTCTTCCTTGGGTTCCATATGACAGGGAGGTAACATTAAAAATATCCATAGGCAAAACAACGGAGCATGGAAAAGGAAGGAGACAAAAAAAAGAGAAATGTTTTCAAGATGGTTTTTTTTCGCCCTATACCTCAAGAAGCTACCCTATGAAATATGCCACGTACAAAATAAGGTAGATCTTGTATGTTTAGCTACTGTTGAAATCAAAGCTGTCTCTGGCTTTCATTACTAGTTAGTAACAAATGGCAGGCACCATCTAAACATAAAATGGATGGGAAATAGGAACATGACTCAATTTGAGAACATGAGCAAGGACTAAAATGAACGAAGAATATAGTGAGAGAAAATAAAATACTGGTATTATTTTTATGGACCCATCTGTCAGGAGCTAAAAATCTTTGAGCTTAGTGTGTCCATTGTATCCTGAGTTTTTTTCTGCTACCTCTATTTATGCCACTTGATGTTTTATATGAATTATAGAGGGATCAATTCTTTACTTAATAATTGAAATGACAGAGAAAGAGAAAGTACTATTAGGGATATTATAGTAATGAGTAACAGAAATATCCTGTTAATTAGAAGTTGGTAGGCATTAAAAAGAAAACCCAGCAAGTAAGTGTCTGTAGTAAAATATACACACTAAACAGTTTAACCTTTAAATCTACATGCCATTGTACACAGTATGGTTATATTCAACTTAAAGTTGTACCTGTTCTCAGAGTAAAGCTAACGTTACACAAGTAGGAGCAGTCTTGTGGGCAAGGGTGGCTTTAGCTCAAGTTAATTAAGTTACTTTCAATGAATTTAGTTGTTGTTGAAAAAACATGTTGATAAGGCGTGATTGTCAAGGGTCTTGGGTACAATGCAGTGTGTACTCTAGTTACCCCCACTGAATTTATATTTTAAAATGTTCATAGTTTGTTAGCTTCATGAAACCTAACAACCCTTGTTGCCAAAACCAAATTTTTGTAAACCTGAAAGTGTACTTTTTTGAGAAAATATTGAAGAATAGTGTAACTATTTTACATATCAGATGAAGTGGAGCTCATCCCGGTAACCCGTGGGCCTTTCCTAGGAAACTCGCGCTAAGGAATCTTTTGTCAAGTTGCTTTCAAACTACTCATATTCCAAATGCGGTGCTTGGCTAGCAAGTGTGCTTCTGAGTTCGTTCTATAGAGGGCGCTGGTGAGAGGCAGGAGCCTGTGGACGCTATCTTGCTGTTGCGTACGTTTAAGAGCCTCCCGCTTTCACCCGGTGGGCTAAGACTCTTAATTGCCATCTGACAGGTCTGGCTTTTCCCACTCTGTCTGGTGCCCCCTGGTGCTCATCACCTGCACAATCTTGAGTAGTTGCTAGGAGCAAAGGGGTCCAGAGAGCCTAAGGATGCTTTCAAGGAAAGCATTCCATTACTGTGAACTACATGGATCCAGATTTCCTCTATGTCCAAAGCCACGGAATAAGTTACACATGTACATTCGTGCACCTCTAGAAAAAGGGTATGTTGTTTTACTAAGCCTCCAAGCAAACGAAAGATGGAAATTAAGCTCAACCGACTACATAGGCAAAAGTCAACTCAGCTCTCCCAAGTTTGTGGTAAAAGACGCAAAGATCCGTGGACCTTATCTTTTCTAGGATTCTCCCCTCCACCGCACCGTTAGTATTTTTCTGGCAAAGCAAAGGATTCGCTATGAATCCTGGATTTCAGGAGAGCAGCCCGTCTTTGAGAATCAGAATATCTGTCTTGGAGCTGGAACTGAGAATGTGGCCTTAAAGGCTATGGAAGGGAAGAGGATAAGAGGTAATACTCCCCGTCTCCTTCCCCAACGCATTTAACCAATATTAATCCCATGCACAATCTTCACAAAGTTTCTTTGACCCCACAGAGGGAGTCTTCAGCCCCTCCGGCTTTCTGAGCTCAGGTTCTAGCTCTCTTTGCTTTGCTTTCCTCCTCCACCCCCACACCCCTACAGTCACTCAACGCTACTGCGGCTCTCTCCATTAAAGATGAACAACAGATCATCCTTCATTGCATGGCAATCTCTTAGCTCTCTCTCGCCTCAACGGAGCATGATGGAAGTCTCTCCTCTCGTCCTGCCTCCCTCTTCCTTTTTTTCTTCCTTCCCCTTTCTCGCAAATTAAACCCTAAATAATGATTTTCCTAGCTAGCGTTGACTTAAGGATGGGGTTTAGCGACCCACCGGGACGCTCCCATCAGCCTTCCAGAAGGGGCGGTTTCCAAAGAAAACTACAACTCCCATGAGGCATCAGGGTAAAGCAACCACAGAGCATCACGGAAATCGTAGGCTCCCTCGCCCTCAGTCCCTTTCATCCTTCTAATGCCAAAACTACAAGTCCCAGGGAGCCTCGGTACTAGCACGCCTGCGCTAGAGCCCCGAGAGCGGGGTGGGGGTGGGGCGCCCCGGGCGGCGGGGGGCGGGGTCCGAGCGGGCTGTGTGGAGGCTTCAGACTCCCGGCGCCATTTAGCGCGGAGAGTTTCCCCGGCGGACGCGGCTCTTCACACTCGGCCACTCTGCGCCCCCATCTTCGGTGACAGAAGGCGCCCGGTGGGGGTGACTACTCTTTCCTCTCCCTAACCCCCTTCACCCAGTCCTCTCGGTCTCCTCTACTCTCGGCCCAGAGAAGCAGCGGAGCTCGGGCCCCGCGGTGAGCGGCCCTCCCCTCCCCACCGTTCCCTCCCTCCGTCAGCCCCCGGTACCGGCCCGGGAGGAGACGAGGGTTTGCCAGGCCCGGGGCGGGCGGGGAGGCCTCGGGGAAGGGGGGGCCCGCTCCTCAGGCACCGAGGCTTCGAGGCGTCGGCCCTTCCCGTCCGGTCGATGGGCGCCCTGTGAGACTGGTCCCCCTAGCTGGGGGCGCGTGTGGGAGGAGGCGACCGATTGACTGACCGGGAGCCCCCGGCCGGCCCTCCTTCTCCTTCCTCGGCCCCTCCCACTCTCTTCGGCTGTGGGGCTGCCACCGCTCGGGAGTCCGCGCCCGTCCGTTCCTCGCGTTGCCGCCGCCCCCGGGGCCTAGCCCGCCCAGCTCGGGAAGCGGCGGCGGCGGCGGGGAGCTGGAGCCGCCGCCGCATCCGCCGCATCCGCTTCGACTTGGTGCCGGCCCCTTGCCCTGCCCCTCATGACTGCGGCGCCTCCGCTGCTCCAGCCTTCCCGGCCGTCTCTCGCCGCAGGATGGATGCGGACCGTGAGGCGCTAACCCCCGTGGCTCAGCTCCTCGATCGCCCTCCGACGAGCCCGCCTCGTGAGCCGTATCAGCCGCCGCAACTGGGCCCAGGGGCCCGCGTCTCCTTCGGGGCGGCTCGTCAGTGCTGAGTGAGGAGCCGGCCGTCCAGGTGGATCCGAGCCCGCCGGCGGCGGGAGCCGTCGCAGCGGTACCCGCACACCGCCGGCGCTCCTCGGGCTCGGCCCCTCGCCTTCTCTTCCTTCACGAGTTCGAGCCCGCTCGCCTCGCTCCAGCGGACCGACCATGTCTGGCGGTGCCTCAGAGAAGCAGAGCAGCACTCCGAGCTCCTTGTTCCTTTCGCCGCCGGCGCCTTCCCCCAAGAATGGCTCCAGCTCCGATTCCTCGGTGGGGGAGAAACTGGGCAGCGCGGGGCCCGACGCCGGAATTGGCCGGACAGAGGAGTACCGGCGTCGCCGCCACACTATGGACAAGGACAGCCGTGGCGCGGCCGCCACCACTACCACCACTGAGCACCGCTTCTTCCGCCGCAGCGTCATCTGCGACTCCAACGCCACTGCGCTGGAACTGCCCGGCCTTCCCCTTTCTCTCCCCCAGCCCGCCGTCTCCACGGCGGCTCCGCAGAGCACCCCGCCGGAGCCCCACCGCGAGGAGACCTTGACCGCCACCGCCGCTGCCCAGGTAGCCCAGCTGCCTCCCGTCGCTGTCGCCCCCGGGGAGCCAGCCGGCGCGGGCGCTGTAGCCGCGACCGCCCCCAGCAGTACCGTCAGAGACCGCCAAGTTTCCCAGCCCAACCATGTGGGGAGCAAAGAGGAGCCTCCGTCGGCCAGAAGTGGCAGCGGCGGCGGCGGCAGCGCCAAGGAACCACAGGAGGAACGGAGCCAGCAACAGGATGACATCGAAGAGCTGGAGACCAAGGCCGTGGGAATGTCCAACGATGGCCGCTTTCTCAAATTCGACATCGAGATTGGCCGAGGCTCCTTTAAGACCGTCTACAAAGGTCTCGACACTGAAACTACTGTGGAGGTCGCCTGGTGTGAACTGCAGGTATAGCCCCACTTCTTTATCTTTCGGTGGTTTGGATCTAAATTTAGCTTGGTTAAGCCAGTTTATCGAATTCATCCTTTACAAGTCATTATCTAACTGTTCGCTCGGGGGCTGGGGCGGGGCGGGGCGGGGCGAGGAGTACCAACTTTGCAAGAGATAGAAACTAGAATTTGTGCATGTACGTAGAGTACCCGATGTAGGGTAAGAATTATTGGTAGCCAAAGAGATTTGATACTGGAGAGGGAGTGATGAAAATCATCTGAGTACAAATGCATTACCTACTTGTTATTGTTTTAGTGTCTGGCAGGAAACTCGGAATTAGTGGGAAAGTTTCTGAATTAGGAAAGTACAGAGTCTTCTTGCCTTGTGCATTTCCATCTCATCAGAGGCTCTGCACTGTTGAGCTCCTGGTGTGTTACATGCTCGTTTCCATCCCTGACATCAGGCTGTACTTTTAGAATAAGAACGACCTTGTTCACGAATGACCTTACTTTGGGAATGACCTTACTTTGGGTATATCCTAGTTGGTGATTGCACAGGCATTTAATATAAACTATATAAAAAAGATTTTCTTCTCTGAATAAATGCCTCGGGACTAAAAGGGTACAGTAAGTGTTTGATATTGTTCCACCTAATGATGCTTAAGCCTTTTGGTAACTGGCAGTTATCTGACAGTGTTAATTAAAACTAGTATGTCTTCAGTCCGTTCTCTATACAGTGAACAGTACAAGAACCCATGTACAATTATAGAAGTGCTTTTAGAGTTGTAATGTCACTATTGTTATTTTAAACTTGTTATGAAAGGTTTTTAAGCCAAACTTTTACAAGAGTCTAAAGGACTCACGGTGCTTTGCTTTTAACCTCTCAGAGAGGTTTTCATGGGGTAAATCATGGTGTGTCATTCTGGTTGACAGATATATTCTAGGTTTAAATAGCTAGGTTTGGGTAACTTGTTGCTTGACCTACAGCAACTTGCTTGAATGTTCTCCTCGTCCGGAAGTGAACATAGGTTATTGGAAGAAGCAGAGTTCCACTGAATGAAAAAGTTAGATACATTATACATGAAAATCCCTGTTACCCATATTCTTCTTGTCAAAAAAATGGACCAAGATAGGATATGAAAATAACAATAATCTAGAAGTTTATTTTATCCATTAACTAATATGTTAATACTTAACCCTTTGAATGTCACTTTCCAAATGACCAAGGCCATATCAAATGTGAAGGGAAGTTAACATGTGGAAGGAGGTGAACTTAAAAACTGACAACTTCTTTAGGAACATAATAATTTCTTAAGTTTTACATAAATGGTGTAGAACTTCTAAGGCATTGTGAAATAAAAGGAACTCAGTTTTATGGTGATTTGTATTGGAAAGGGTGCAGCTTTAAAAAAAAATCTTGTAAAACTATGACTTTATTCCTGTTGATCATCTCAGAAACTTAAGTCTGATTCCTTTTGGTTTACAGGCAAAAATTCCATTTATTCTCTACATACAGACATTTTTCTCTTGTACAAGGGGTGCCTATTACTGTTGATCCTGGATTTTATTCTTCTATTATGGTTTTATATTTGAATAGGTGCCTTTTGGATACATATTTTTTTTTAATTAGTTACCTTACTTTCTTAAGACTGGACCCAAGTAAACGTTGATCACTTTATGGACTAATTTTGTTAGTTTCAATTATTTAACCTTCAAGACTTCTCAGAATGTAATTGTGTTTTCCTTAATGGTAATCTTTTGATAGTTTATCTTGGAACTAATGATACAGTGGAAAAAACTCAATTTGCCTAATGTCATAATAATTTTGTCCTCTCAGTTTTTCTTTGAACTCATGGCTTTTTGGATTTTTGTTCTCTGTCTAGACATGGGCATGGTCAAATTAAAGAATATCTGATATCCTTATATATAATATCACCATCTTATTTTTAAATCAGTTAAGGATTTGGCTGCAGAACCAAATCCTAGTTCACTGAGTGGTACCCTGGTTTAGAAACTTCCTTATGTCATTTGACTCTGTTTATGCAATTTTTCATTTTGTTTTTTAAAATATGATTTTCCTAGCCCCAGATGTTTTATACAGTGTTTTTGGTTTTTTGATCAGTACATTTACCTAATAACTTATTCATTAGGTTAGTTTTGAGTTTTTGTTTTTGGATACAAATTAAAGGATTACTAAAGCATTGGGAAGAAAGGAAAGCCTTTTTAACTAAATGTATACTTCTAACGTACATATTTTTCTGGAGGAAGACAGGAGAAATTCTGTATTCAGTTGTTAAATAGTGTATTAAAATTGGAAGAAATCTTAGGTTATTCTGCCCAGCTACTTATTTGATAAATAGCCTGAAATCATGGAGCAGGTAGATGACTTGCATAGATTGGTAAAGAATAAAATTTAAACTGGTTAGGATCTAATGATTTGGGAAATGTTAAAGCTTTTGTAGTTTAGTAGGTTGCTAATTAGTACATCTCAAATGAAGCAGTTGTATTTTGGTGTGGAAGTCGCTGTCAGATTTCTGGGGAAGTCTGACCCAATACCCTATGGTTTAGAGTATTGATTTTATCAATTTAAATGTACAAATAGGCTTTTTAGGATAGAGAATGGGTGAATGTGGTATATAAATCAAACTTGTTTCCATCAAGCTAATTTTAAGAGTCACAGTATGCAAGTATCAATTCCTAATAAATAATACTAGGTAATACTTTGATACCACAGGATCTTAGCTGATAACTGATCTTTTAAGCTGCAGATTTCTTTACTTGATTTCATTAGGCAAATAACATGACTTAATTTTAGTACTCTGTTGCCTTGGTCAGAAAATGTTATTGCCCAACTTTGCAGAGTTTATTGCTTTTCTGTAGAGACATCTTGGTTTTTTTAAGAAATGTAGCATAAACTTTTTAAAGAAAATGTATTTATACATAGATTTGTGAATGGTTTTGATTACTTTAAGTACTTTTCTCCACAAATTGCTTCTAAATAGAGTTCGCTTGGTAACTTGATATATTCACTTTATATTTTTTTTAATTTTTTTTTTCAACGTTTATTTATTTTTGGGACAGAGAGAGACAGAGCATGAACGGGGGAGGGGCAGAGAGAGAGGGAGACACAGAATCGGAAACAGGCTCCAGGCTCTGAGCCATCAGCCCAGAGCCCGACGCGGGGCTCGAACTCACGGACCGCGAGATCGTGACCTGGCTGAAGTCGGACGCTTAACCGACTGTGCCACCCAGGCGCCCCATATTCACTTTATATTTTGATGAGATTGTTTCCAGATCTACTTGGAAGGGGAGGTCAAATCATAAATTTTGGTTAAGCTCCAGTGTACTTAGTGCTGGCTTTACTCTGGCTTTTTTTTTTTTTTTTTTTTTTTTTGGTAAATTAAGGCTTATGTCTCATCATGAGTATCATGAGTATGTGATGAGTTTTTTTTGGACTTAATTTTCTTTTTTTTTTTTAAGCTGAAGTATAGTTGATACAGGTGTTATTAATGTTTTATGAAAAGTTTAGCAGTGCTGCAGAAATGTGATGTGGTTTGTGATTAAGAAACCATAACTTATTTCTTTGCTTTAGTTCTTAAAATAACTCATTGAACTGAATCTTCCACTTGAATATTGATTTTCTTTTTTTGCCCTTTTTTACATTTGTGCCAAATTCCGTGTTTTTCAGGATGAGAATCTGCAGTAATTTTCAGTCCCAGGAACAAGATTTCAGGGAATAGTCTTTGGAGTTTTGTTTGTTTTAAAGCCTCAGAGTAACTGATGAGTATAAACAAAATTGAGATAACACAAATGTAGCTGTTATGCAAATTAAAGAATGATTGGTAACTTGTTTGAAGTAATCCTTTTCCCTTCTAATAATACAGAATAGAATTAAAGAAGATAATTTTGTTAGGTAAGATACGCTTTAAAATGTATGTAAATTTATTGCTGTAGGAAGTAACCTTTGTGGTACAGGTGTTGAGAATTATATTTAGGTTGACTTTTCAGTGATATTTCTTACTTAGTCTTTGGGGTTTGAATGTTTTCCTTTTCTATTATTTACCTTTTTTCTCCTCTTAAGTATCACAGTTGTTCCTAGTGGAAGATTGTTTTTGTCAAAAACAAATGGGGACTGGGGCGCCTGGATGGCTCAGTCAGTTAAGCAGCTGACTTTGGCTCAGGTCATGATCTCACAGCTTGTGAGTTCGAGCCCCCACATCCGGCTCTGTGTTGCCAGCTCGGAGCCTGGAGCCTGCTTCGAATTCTGTCTCCCTCTCTCTCTCTCTCTCTCTCTCTCTCTCTGCCCTTCCCCTGCTCACACTCTGTCTCTCTCTCTCAAAAAATAAACATTAAAAAAACAAACAAACAGATGGGGACTCTATTATTATCTGGTGGTTGAGTTCATTTCTTGACATTCAGGTTTTAGTGCATGATCCTGGTCATTTGAAAGTCATTCTACTTAATCTCTATGGAAACATTCAACTAAAACTGGGCTCTCATTTTCAGAAATCATTCTAAAGCTGTTATTTGGTTTTCTAATATAGATTTAAGATTTTTTAAATGAAGCTGTAAAAGTAGCAAGAGTAGTTATGCTCAAATTATAATTTCTGAAGATGTTAGTATAACATGAAAAAATTCATTAATAGTTATTAGGTTTTGCTGTATCAGTTCTTTATTTTTAGCATCTTGCATTTTATTTGAGTTTTTTTTTTTTAAGTTTATTTATTTTGAGAGAGAGAGTGTGTGTGAGCAGGGGAGGGGCAGAGAAAGGGAATTCCAAGCATGCTTCCGCACTGCCTGCTCAGAGCCCGATGCAGGGCTCAATCTCACGAACTGAGATCCATCATGACCTGAGCTGAAATCACAAGTCAGACGCTTAACCGACAGAGCCACCCAGGTGCCCCTATTTGAGGATTTTTTTGGTTTTCTTTTCTTTTTTTTCCTTTTTTTAACAGGACCACTGTAGTGTGCAGAAATATGTGAGACTTAGCATGCACCGCCTGAATTTAGATTTGAAGA